CTCGCTGAGTCAAAGTGACGCGCCTGCCACGAAATCTACACCCAGGCACCAAAGTACTGCGCCTGCCACGAAATTTGCACGAAAAGCTCCAAAGTACCGCGCCTGCAACGACATTCAACTGCGCCTGTCACGCAACGTAAGCTTGCCACAAGCTCAGAATCATCCAAACTGCTGGACCTGCCACGAAATCCAACTTTGACACGTTGACGACACGCATCCAAAACTAGCACGGGACTGTGGCGCCAGAATGATTTCGACCAATTTTGACACGTTTCAGGCCTGCCAAAACGAGCCGATGGCACTGCAGGGCCAACGAAAACGGCGCCGGCGCAAACACTCTGACGCGCCTGCCAAGCAGGAAGTCTAAAAGCAACCACCCCTGGATCGCAAATCCCACTGGCACAGCAACGAGAACACGCAGCCTTCCAAAACACTGCGCCTGCGCAGCGAAACGACACATCGAGCTTTGAGAAGCTACGATTCCTGCACAACGCCAACGAAAAAGCACTTGCCGATCCATCAAAAACACGCTTCCACGACGAGTCCCAATGGCACACGCTTATCACCTCACCGCGGACGGTTGCGGACGGTTGCGGACAGTTGCGAACTCTGGAGCAACTGCTCGCGAACACGGTCTCCACCCCCAGACCCCCACTTATAAACGGGAACCCTTCGCTACGCATCGGGAAAAACAACTCTTACCCTGCGACCAAGGGAAACACTTTCACCCTGCGACTAAGGAAAGACTTTAACCTGTGACAAAGAGAATTGTGCCCTGCGACTAAGGAAAAAACGATTTCATCTGCAGACTAAAGCCAGTAGGCGAAGCACGTCGCGTCCCGCGGTATATCTATCAATCTGTCAGCATTGAACCTACAGTACAGAGAAGCGAAAGGAACTGCAGTTTGGCACTGCGAAAATGCTAAGGAACGTTCACCAATACAGAGTCATCTATCTAACCATCTATCGCATCTATCGATCTATCTAGACGATGTTATTTGGCTATTGCACGAGCCGTCCTGCATGCGTCGCGCACATGCGCAACTTCCTGAATCAAGCGCTTGACTTGAAACAACCTTTCTCACCAACAACGCTGAACCCAGAACTTGCGCACACCAACAGACCTTCGCGACACCCACGAAAGCTTAAAACAAGGTGTTGTGAAATTTAGGAGGACTGGGAAGGGAGAGGAACAGCATGAACAATACAGATGGCTTTGGAAAGATGAAGCAACCGGCAAGAAAATAAGATCAAATCGAAATTGATCCAGGACCACAAATCACATTGATCGCACGCCGCTTGTCTGAGCCGCTCACAAGGCGCATCTGAGCGGCCCAAGATGCGGTTGAGAAGTCGTGCAGTTGCTTGTCAAGATATGCGTGTGCGTCACATCAAACCCCTGACACAGCTTAAGCACTGCCGCTAGAGCCCGGCGCTCTCAAGACTTGCCACAGGTGCGCGAGCTGCCGCAGTTTGCATTGCTTGCACAGCAAAAAGCGCGCGCAGCTTTCAAGCCCATTCTTGGATCTAAATGGGAGCGCTCACAACTCTTCCTGCAGGGATAGATCGCTGTCCGCGCACTCTCTTATCTCATATCTCATGTCTCATGTCCCACATCTCACACCTATCTCATATCTCCCTCTCTCGCTCTCTCCCTTGTCACACCCCCACAGCACTTCTCTCTCCCTCCATTCACGGCCTTGCTCAGCCCACGCAACCAAGACTCAGCCCACTCCTTGGGATGCCTGGTCCGGGGGGACTCCAAGTCTACCACCATGGTCTCGACGCAGGCACCCGCGTGCCGCACCACTGCCTGAGTCAAAAACAGAAAAGGAAGCCGAACAATATACCGATTTGCTCGCGAGCGCTAAAACGTTATTTACTCCGTGTTCTAACGCGCAACAAAGAAACTAAACCAGCATTCGCCTTCAACAGCGCTTGCGCGCATCGGCCCACTTCAGCTCTCCTCCTTCCTCTTGCCAAACCAAATCAGCCAGCCCTCCCGCTTGCCCCGCGCTTCTTCCAAGGGAGCTTGTTCTCCGGCTGACCCGCTACAATTACAAGGGATTGTGGAGCGACAGGCGCGCTACGGAGCGCACCGAAAAACAGGAGTCAGCGTGTTAGACGCAGTCCCGACACCAACCAGCACTGCAAGCTTCAAGCCCCCACGCGTGTGAAGAAGTTCTATCCAGTTTGAGAGAAGGCTTGTTTGTAAAACGGCAAACAAAATGTCTGAAGCGTCTGCCGCGAAGCTGGCCCAAACGCAAGTCAACCAGTGGGATGCATTGGCTAAGCAAAAATAGAGCACTGATTGGCACCGCAAGCAAACGTAAGCTCCGCTCCAGATAGCTGCACCTCGACGGCTCGCTCACCTCGAGGACCTCCTACCAGCAGGGCACGAAACGAACAGCCGCACCTTTCCACTCCCAGCCCCCAAGCCTCCTCTGCGCCACACAAAAAGGACACTTTCAAGCTTCGAGCTGGCCCCCCGTAGCCTAGCGCGAAAGACTCGCATTCCGCTGAGTGTTCGTTTTGCCGCGTCTGAAATCAGCTTAAGGCTTCAGACCGCAAGTAATTGCTCTGTGCAAAAGCGCGACGTATCTCAGAGCCCATTACGACTTCTGAGCGCAGCGCACATGTCCCCATCCTTAAATTGCGCCTCTGCTGGGCCAGTGAAGCCTGAGCAAATGCTCTGCGCCTCAAATCATGCCTGCCAGGCGCCACTACCAGCGCTCAAGGCTCACGCAACTCAAGCAATCAAGCATCGACCGACTTGATGCTGCGCGCAAGCGCGCAATCAATCTTCGTTTCACTGAGTCGGTCAAAAGCGATCTCAAAATTCTGATTTAGTAAAGCATCCATGAAAATGGCGATGTGGAAAATTTGCAAGCCAAAGGCTTGTTCCCCATCGCAAGCGCCGGAACTCGGGCGGATCAAGACCAAATATATCCTTGGCTGGTTTGCCTGCGCCAGCGCGAGAGGGTCAGCGCGCCCTGATATTCTTCGTGAAAAACGCGGAACAAAACATTTTGCTCCGCGTCTGACACGCTTGTTCTCGGCCGCGGTCACGGCCTGAGGGCCTGCCAGAAGGTTTGCAGACACGCTCTGCGTGTTGGCAAGTGCAATGTTGGCACGGGCATGTATTCGTGTCGGCTGCGCCAAACCCAACGCTTGCCTGGTGTTTACCCAGCCTCTGCAGACTGCTGTTGCACAGTTGAAGGCTAGGCGGAAAGGACACTTTGTTTGAAAACCACTGGCGCAGGCAGCGCCGTCCTAGCGGCCCGACGCGGAGCAGGATGTGTTGTGGAAAGTCGCCACTGATCACAAGCGGAGCCCGGACAAAACAGGCGCGGCCCGTCCGTCGTTGTCGCGCTCAAGGTCTCTGTTTCCGCGCCTATCTTTCCGCGCGAGCGTTCAACGTAGTCAGTGCTAACGATGGGCCGCATCTGATGGTCGACATTCAGAAGAGCAGGGCTGGCCGTGTTGTAGCTTCAGGCACCACAGCGCTGCCACGGTCGTTTTGTTCAAAAGGTCGCGCGAGCCGCGCGCTCGTCAGTTGGGGGCTGACATCGCAGCCCGGCCGACTTTAAAAACTTTCCCGCAACCGCCATGAGACACCGACAAGATTCCCACCCAGACATGTCTCGCCACAAGCAAAAGGGCAAGCGCAACTCTGTCACACGTCACATGTTTCGGTGAGATCCATGAGTCGCACAAACTTCTTCGGTGTAGAACGGTCTATCCTGAACAACACAAAGAGGATCAAAAGGCGGCCACGCCCCTGTTACCTGGGACTGTCGGCACGAAAGATCTCGGCGCGCCTCGTTGGGGGTTGGATGGAGTCGCGCCACTGACGGGTCTGCGAGCGGCAGTTGACGGTACGCTCCGTCATGGTCATGCGTGACACAGGCGCGGTTGCAGCCACTCCTTTGCCAACCTTTCCCGCCACTCCGTTGCCGTCACCGCAAGACATGACCGGCGTGCGCGCGATGTCGGCCGACGCTGTGAGCGATCGCTGCGACGACGCTGCCTAGACGGCAGGCTCCGCCTTCTGGGTTTCCTGCTTCTTCCAGGGCCCTTGCCCCTTTACCCCGTTTTGCTTGCAGCGTGCAACTCTCGTTCAGGTGGCAGCGGCGGGTGACCCCTGTCTTAGTCGGAAGCAGGCAGGTCGAGATGCTGTTTGCGGTTGATGTCGATGACGGGACACGAATCCACTGTTCCGTCCCGTAGTGTTCTTGTTCTGGCAGAACTACGTGAAACGGTCTGTGAAATCAACTTGGCGTTGTGATACGGAAGCCAGTTGTTGTCACAAGGGGCCGTCCGAACCCAACGGGGACATCGGTTGGCCGAAGACTCATCAAGAGAGTGTTGGCGACAAGCTTCAGTGAAATTACGGGGCTGTGGAAAGTTCTGACTGATCGGATCGAACCTTCAGCCGAGCTTGCGCGCAGCGGTGAAGAACTGTCCCCCGTTGCTGGCGGGTTCGGCCGTGGCGGAAGCATCCCCGACACCTGCAAATGTCACGGGGAAGAGCGCCCGACCCGCCCGAGACAAGCTGCGTGAGCCTCAAGGACTCAAGTTGCTATTGCGCAGCTTTCGGTGCGGCGCAGCCAAAGGCAGGGACCCGCCTAGAAAGCGGCGACATCTGAGGAAGCCAGAAAAGCACAGATGCAGGGCCCCGAAAAGCTGCTTTAAGAGCAGGTGGGGGTCACTCAACGCTGTCTGGTCAGGGTGTTGGACGCCACCACAAGTACGCTTGAAGGCTGGCCTGCGTGAAGGGCCAGCCGCGCGCGCGATCTCCCCGGTTGTCGTTACAGGATCACTCGCGGCGCCGCGCGCCCCGCTATCGTAGCCGCCGGCGTCGGTGCTCAGAAGACGCTGCTCGGCAATTTCGGCTGCTGGTGGCAGACCGAAAAGCTTTAGGTTGCTTGAGTCAGGGTAGCACCGAACGCGTTGACTACGGCCATACAACGTGCTGTCACACGAGACGGCGCGCCCAACCGTAGACAACCCAGAAAGTCACCCTCATGGACATTTTTTGGCGCTTTCGTAGCGGCACGCACGCGGGGCAAAAAGAAATGTTGCGTCACGGGGCACCCAGCGCCCGCGCACAGGCCGGGCGTTGACAGCTGGAGCGATGAGCAGGACCTGGTCTGCCTGGCGCATGGGGTACATCCGGGGAAGAGTTGCCCTCCACATAGTCGGTCATGATCTGCAAGCTGAAGGTCACCCGCGCCTCGTTATCCCAGCTGCGCAAAACATGGAAGGATGCAGGTCAGGCCAAGGGTCAAAAACAAAAAGTAAGCAAGATTTGATCCTTCTCACCAAAATGTTACACACATTTCAAATGTCTGGTCGGTGGCAAGGACAGCTGCGCCTGTCAAGATAGGTTTGGCATGTCAATCAAAGGTCAAAGCTCGACGCTGTTACTCACAAACAAGTATTCCCTACAAACATATTTTTCTCGGCGCACGCGTCTGATCACATGCCTGCACGCAAGGAATGAAACGAGAGAATCTTGGAGTCGGCCGCACTTGCGCACACTGGTGGTTTCCAAAGTTGGCAGCTGCCTTCCGGGCTCCGCGCCAGCCCAGTTTCCTAATCTGGTGAAGGACTGCTTTGCGTCCTTGAAGAAGCACAACTTGTAGGTGTACCTCCAACTGCGGTCCTATCAATCTGTCGGGTCAATCCACTTGGGGCACTCCGACGTTTTGAACTCCAAACATCGATCTCTGAGATTGGCAAAGCCGAACTTCTCCTGAGAGGGGCTTCGCCCGCAACACGCGCAACGCGCGTGAATTGCATCGAGTCCTCCGGCAACTCCTCCAACTCCCTCTTCAATCGCGCCTTCAGGTCCTAGAGCAAAAGCCGAAAAGGGTTAAAACTGCAAAGGACACGCAACCAAAGCCTGGCTGCTGCTCACCTTGCTCTCCATCTCTCTCACCTCCTGTCGGACGCCAGCTTTGGCTCGGATTGATAAGTCTCAAATCGTCCTGTTGGAGTGGATCCTCACCTAGCAGACAGCGCGTCTTGGAGCCCGCTGGGTTGTTGGGGCTGGGCTCGAAGTGGTGGAGGTGGTGGAAGTGGTGGAAGTGGTAGGAGTGACCTCAAGCCCCGCCCAATCGCCCAAACACAACAGGAAAGCGCAAATCTTTGCCTGGCCTCGGCCTCAACCTGCGCCTCCTCAGCCTTAAGCGCGCGCTCTGTGTCTTACAGTGCAACGTGCTACCGGTCCTCCATCACGTCTGCCCCTTCCATCCACCTCCCGTCCAAAACACGAAAAAACAACACAACAGGACAGCCAAAACAGTAAGACATGACGGATCGCGGCCCTACGCGTGGCTTAAACGTGTCAGACTTGCTTCGCATACTCAGAGACCACCTTCTTCGTGGTCGTCGTGGTTGTGCCTCCTGCAACTCATGGCTCTTGCTCTTTGCGCTCCGATCTCTTCCATTCGCAGTTCTCCTCTCAGAGACTCCACTTCTCCTTCCAAGGCAGCCACCTTCCCCTGAGGTTAAAGGTATTGCCACGCACTGTGACACGCCGCCCAACCTCCAGCTGCTTCACGAGGTCCTTGAGCCTTTGGGAGTTTCAAGGTACTATTGCTGGAGTTTTGGTCAATTGGGCGTCGCCTTGGCAGTTCTGTCTGGCACTCCGCCTGCATCTTCACTGCATCCGCCTTGTCCTCGCAGACTTCCGAAATCGTTGGCTTCGGCGCCTGTTCTGCGTTGCATGTGTTGCGCTGTTTGCTGATGTTTGGGCGCGCTGCTGCGGCGCGTTGCTGCGGGTGATTGCGCTGCGTGTTTGCGCCCTGCACGCGGCGCTGGAGGCTGGCACGCAACGGCGTGTTGGAGCACGCTCTGTCTTGCGCTGCGCACGCGTCCTTTGCGCGCACGCCCAAGCACTTTTTGTTTTTTTTTCTGCGCGCACGCCCAAGCACCTTGATGTCTGCAGCTGCGGCTACGCTGGTTCTGCCGGCTTCGCTGTCTACGCTGGTCTGGTTGCGCTGCAT